AACGTCTTGAACATCACACCTGAGCGAAATTGTTTTCATCTTATCGCACCAAGAAGACAACTTCGCTCAAACATTAAGTTAAAACGTACATTCTCCCTTCCTCATTGATCTGAGGTTCACTCACAACAAAAGAAATTCCTAGTGCGCTGTTTTGAATATCAATGTACGCCAACTTCGCGCAAATGGATGTGAAAAACCGTAGACTGCTCCCACAATATGCACTAACACTCCTCGTGATAACATGTAACATTGGCTTGCCATCAGCGAAAACGCTGCCCTGTAGTTTATGTCCAAATTGTATGACTCGCTCAGGAAGAAACGGAACAAATATTGAGAGAAGTGATGCATACATCAATACAAAATACTTAAGAATAATTGATTGTGTGAGACAATATCACAGGTCGATATCGTTCAACTTTATGGGCCAAGTTAAAGTCCACATCGCAGCCAACATCGTACCTGCCATCGTGCAGATGGCCATGGATCGCGGCCATCACGTCGTCTTAACGCCGCCGTAACATAGTGACCTGCAACTTATCGAAATAATTTGGGCCTACGTCAAGGGCACTGTTGGGCGGTTGTACGATTCCTCGACAACGTTCTCTGACGTGCATGAGCGGCTTGATCATGAATTTGACCGCCTACCGAGCAGCGTGATTATTGACTGCATCGACCATACAGATCGCAGAGTGGTGGAAATGGCCGCGTACCTGGATTCTGTCGACGAAGCAGACGATGCGGCTGGAACTCCTTTCTCCTCGGATAGCGAAATCGAAAGTGATGGCGACAGTTGCGACGATTGCTTCTTAGGTGACTACGAGATGAGTAATTCCTCTAACAGTCAGAAATTTTCAAAATGAAAAATATTCACTGCAAAAGCACCGAAGATTGTGATCTCTGGAATTTGATGAATTATCCGAAAGGTCGGTCGATGAGATCGACCACTGATAAGGCATTTCTAAATGGAAAGGCGGCCGAACGGAGCTCGAAAGCACAACAAAGAGCAATTAATGTCAATGCAAAATTTTCAATGGAACAAAGTAAAAGTATATCTAGCCGAACATGACGCTTCGCCCCCTTCAAGAAGTTGAGAATATTGCAATCGACACCGTTCTGTTCTTGCATGGCAAAATGGCAAGACTCCTTGTGCTGACATCGAACAACATGCTATACAGTTCAATGTATCAGAAACGAGCATCCAACTTGTATGGCTCGTGACCAAGCGAAGCGACCTTTCATAACAACCACTCCATAAAAGAAAGCGGATAGTCAAGAGTTACAAGAACGGGTGTCCATGCTGTCCCCAATGAAGAATATGGACACACAAACCATGGTAAATGCCTAAATCGACCTTGCACGACTCCCAGCGTCCTTGTTTGTAGGCGCTCGTTGCTAAAACCTTTAATGACCGACGCAAACATTGAATCTCGAAAAGAATACGCACTCTTATTCACCCTGGTATCCTCGGGCAAAGTTATGTTCGACTCCGCGATGAACTGTGTGTTCTTGGATGAAAAGTTTGCAAGATCAGAACAGATTTGCATGGCGCTATGGGAACCAGGTATGGTGAGCCTCAAGATCGCCATGGACACGTTGCACCGATACGTGTACTCATGTAGCGGCAAGCTGCGACGGCAAGCAAGAGGACGACGTGGCAAGAAACGCGTGTCAAGTTTGCCAACTTTAATGTGGGCGATTTGTTTTGATCGGTGCTGTCGTTCAACGACCGACAAACTCCTACTGCAGGGGCGCGGTCCAGAACAATTTGTGCGCGTGGTCAATTCTCGGCAATCTACTATATTTTCCATGTCGACATCACTATAGGGAGCCCCACTCATTTAAATGAATTAAATGAACTTGTCCAAACGATAAATAGTTTACATTCCGCGAGGGCGCGAAGGGCCCAGCAGAGGATTGATGTAACATGATTGGTTGATTTTTACAATTTTATATGCATTCGATTCACAAGAACTCGAAGAAAAAAACTCCGTCATGAAAAGACTCTGTAAAGGAATGTCCTGCGCAATAGAATGAAAAAACAATACAAATTAAACTAAATTAGGCCTATAAAAGACAAATCCTTGTCAATACCAATATAAAGGGAAGGAGAAATATAATAAAAATATTCAGCAAACTAAAACCTCTATATTGTAGTGTGCCTTTTACACATACTTGGTGGTCAATTTCATATAATTACGGCTTTTTCGCCATAATTCACTCACGTCTTGCCTGGTTTTCGTCAAATCGGCGGCTAAATGACGGTCTTGATAGGCCCCGTCATTTCCCACTATTTTCAGGGCAATCCGACGAAAATTGACGTAGTTATTGCGCAAAAACATAATTGCACCCTTTGCAATGGACCCGGCGACAATAGCCCAAATCAAAGCCTTAGTAGAGCTGCGCCGCAGGCGCAGCTTGACTATGGATGAGAAGATGGACATACTGTGGCTTCAAGCCACACTCCGTGAAGAACGGAGAAGCGACGTTACTGGTACCATCTCTCGCTTACTTTTACGCTCCAACAAAACCGTAAAGGGAGTCCTTTGCGAGTTCCTCGGTAGGGGCAGTTTGTTTGAGGCCGACCCACCTTTGAACACGAAGAACCATCCGTCGCGCGTTCCTACGTCAGCCTCGGTCCGTTCTCTTGTGAGGACGTTTATTCGAGACCGCTGGGTCACCCGTACCAGGACTGTCGCCTGGGACGTCTTGGCGCTCCTCATTGACCACAACGTCGTCTTCGTGGGTGCCACCCGGCCAAATGACTACTCCGCTGGTTTTCGTGCTGTCCAAGTCTTCTTGTCGAATGAGGGGTACGCTCGTGGGAAGCGCGCGGGGAGAACTGAGTTCAGGATGACCAAGGCGGATGAGATGGCATGGGACGCTTACTTCAGCATGATGGTGCCAACAGGGGTAATGCGTCCTCGACGACCCGTGGTGCACCTTGACGAAAGTTTCATTCAACATCACTACACTCGTCATGAGGACAGTCTGTACGACCCCGAGCACAGCACAACGAGGCCAAAATACAAAGGACGCCGATTTTGCCTTATCGCTGGAATCATTGATGAGGGACTGGACATTTTTGTTGGTGGAAAGAAGAACGGGAAGACAGTGAAAGACTACCATTCAATGTTCAACCATGCATACTTTGTCGACTGGTTTGAGAAGCTGCTCGATGAAGTTGAGAACCTTGGATGGGCATCGGCAGTCTTTGTCATGGACAACCCCAAATATCACAAGGGGCGGCCGTTCGACACTCCCAAGGGCAATTGGAAGAAGGACGATCTCTATCAAGAATGTGTGAAGTTCAAGGTTCTTGGTGCGTCTTCTACTGATCTCAAGGCGATGATCTGGGCAGCCTTGAAGAAGCATATCGAGGAGCACATCCCACCTGTCGTTGTCGAAATGGCACGGACTCGTGGACATCATGTGGTGTTCTCGGCTCCAGGGTTTTCTGACCTACAACCGATTGAGATGGTGTGGGCCAATGTGAAGGGCACAGTTGGTCGAGCTTACACTTCTACATGTACTACTACGTTTGCGGGGGTCCGCGATCGTCTTGATCGGGTGTTTTATGAATTGGACACTAAGGTAATTTACAGTGCAGCATTTACGGCAAAACTGCTTATGCTGGATAGCTCTCTTCGAGAGGCAGAAACTTTGGCGGAAGCAAGCTGTTTTAAAGACTTCGATAGCGAAACTTCTAGTGAAGATGACTTGTCGGCTTCAAGCGACTGCGTCGGCATGGGTGTGAGTGAGAATGACGAATAGCATCGCGGCTTCTTGTGTTTAATTTCTTGTGTAATTCAATATTTCAAGTTGAATGCAATTGTAGAGGTCCAGTCAGTTCAAGCATTATTATTTTGCTTGTGCAAATGTATTATTGATTTTAGAAATTGGCCTTGGCCCCTCGATGCCCTCGTGGACTGTTAGCCAATTGGCGCAACTGCCCATCGTGATTCGATTCGACGAGGTCATGTTGTTCCTGCCAATCAAGAATGGTTCATGCGCTGATCGTTTGATTCGACGCATACATCGACACATCGGTTTTTCATGATTTCCGTCGCTATCTAGTGGAAGTGTCCATCAGCAATCCGATTGATGAGCAGTTGCAGCTCATAGCATGTGATACATTTCACGTGCCTTTGATTGGCATGGAGTATTTTTTATCAGATTTCGTCGGAATCCTCAGAAAGCGCAAAATAGCTATTACTACGTCTGCTTTTGAACAATTGCGAGCAAAAGTTCAATAGTATAGGAAGATTTAGAAACAGAATCTAAGTAAAATAGAGTAATCGTTCATCCTCCAGTGGCACAACAAATCTGCAATATCTTCTAAAGTTTGCACTTTCTTAAGCCTCAAGCTCATCATTTCTAATGCTAACTCACCCTCATAGCTCAATGTACTGCGAGGGAGTTTAGACCTATTGTCAACTCCGCATTCAATGACAATGTTCATAACACGACACAAGGTAGAGAATGACTTCTCCAGCGTCGACGGCACCAGCTGATCGAACGCAGTCTTCATCGTGGCATCGTCTGACACTCCACAGATTGTTACATAGCTTGAAAGAGTTAAAAACCCAAAGTATAATCGCTTGGATCCAGGGACCTTGATGGTTAATTCCACTTTCGAATGTCTCAGCCACCAGAATCGCGGTAGCAGCAAGTGTAGCATCTTCGGGCGAAATATGAGGGACGCGTTGTCTTGTTGCAGGTAAGCTCTTGCATTTGCCGTTGGCCGTATTTCCTTGATCGCATATTGTCGCTAAGTAGCCGGTGGTAAACATCGCGCGTCACAGTGATGCTCCGCACCACCTCCGCTCCGGCCGTCCTGTTGACGTTGCTTCGGCTGGCAGTCATTCGCTTCATAATTTTGCAGCAGCCAACCTTACCGTCCCATCTTGGCGGCGGCCCAGCGGCGGCAACCAAATACTTCACCTTGATGATGTGTGACTTGGACTAGATATACCAAGGCAAGATGGTTTCGTCGTACCAAAGGAAGCGACAACGGAGCTTGGTAAAGCAAAACCATTTCTCGTCCAAATGCACCACATTGGCCATGTCTTTGAAATGGCCATCTAGTGCATTCAGCGGGATTTGGCACAAAATGTTGTGGAGGTCCAACGTCTGTTCGGCAGTAAGGTGCGGCATTGTCCAACTTGACCATCTTGCCATCCATTTCTTCTTGACTAATGTCCACAGGACGAACGCAGAGACACCAGTCGCCGCAGCTAGAGATCGGTACGTTTGGTGCTTGTGCAACGGTACGCTCTTGATTCGCTGCTCGATTTCTTATGGCTCATACTTGGTGCATCTGCCGGTGACGCACTGTAAACACGACGTGACGTTCGCCACACCATTCAACGACTTGGTGTCGTCACCACGCTTGTAAGTACGCAACCCGTTAAGCGTTAGGCGTCATACGTGTTGCACACAGTATGAACATTTTCGCGGGTAAGTTGGCCGTCCACGCTGACCTTGATGAGGTGTTGGTATAGCGGCACCGTTTGCTCGTCCGTCAAACTTGGCTCGGTTTTTGTATTGGATTTGGCATAGACGGTTTCAAACGAAAATTAATAATGCAATTCACAAGAACACTGCCAGTCGATTCAGCTTATTGCAAGGAACACGACATACTAATTTATTTTGCCAATCAGAGTCTGGAAACCGTCCATCTCGTCCCGCTAGCAATCGATACAAAAATGAGGTAGTAAAAGCAGTGAACGAGCGCATCGACCGACATTTTTTGCAGTTTGAGAGTTTGTGCATGAATTTTATTAAAGATTGTTCTCCTACTCACAGTCAACGTATTCTTCCGAATACAATGTATTTATGCTCATTCCTTCAAACGCAATACGCTTTATGAAATGGTCAATCAAAGTTAAGAGTGCTGGTCAATTAGCATCCTAAATATTTATAGTCCTTGACGGTTGATAAAATACTCTCTAGATTCTATTTGTTTCTAGTGTCTTAATAACCTGGAGAGTGATTATATTTTACTTCTGACATTACATCCTTCAACTTCATTGGTCTGTTGTAGGATTTTGGGTTCATGGCCGCAAGCCTATTCATTCTTCATTCTCCAAAACAGCCTAACATGTCTGGGTTACTAGGATACAAGTTGCATCGATTGTGAGCGAACACGAAATTTTTCAAACAATTGTTCGTGAGATTAGACCAACTCGCACACGAGTGACTGCAAAAGATATGATGCGTTTATCGACTAGAGCAGAAATTCCTTGTAAAAGTTGGGATTGCGACGTGGCCAAAGGAGTGGGCACGACAGCGCACCTGGACTCCGTCGACGGAGCGGATTAAGCTGCTGGAACCGCGTACTCCGCGGAGAGCAAAGTCGAAAATGGTACCGATAGTGCGTCGGCAATGAAATAGTGAATAGTTTTCAAAATGAAAAATATACATTGGAAGAGCAAACACACCCCTGGAATATGATGAACTATCCGGACGGTCGGTCGAGCAATTGACCACTGTAAGTACAATTGCAAAATTCATTATCCGGACAAATCGTCGTGCCGGATAGGAGACTCCGAGGTGGTGGTTGCCTGCCAGACATTTTTTGAAGCATGCAAGCTGCCGCCGTCCTTCGCCGCGCAGCTGTCGCTGCCGCCTCCCGCTCCACTCGCGTAGGTGACATGACCGTCACATATGAGAATAGACGTCTTTGTGAATCGCTCCATCCGTAGATTGCCGCAGTGCGTGCCATGAGCAGCACTCCTCCTCCGACTCCGTCGTTCGCGTCGCAGTTGGAACCGGAGATCAAGGTCCCACGCCACTTCATCGGTGCTTTTCCTGAAGAAACGGAAGCTAACAACTTTGAGGTGAACTGGAGTCTCGCTGACGATGACATCACCCCGCTTCACAACTGCTACCGCAACCGGGAGTTGGGCAACTTGGCTGCCGCCGCCGCTATTGCTGCACCCGTGCCCAACGCTGCGTCGCCTGCTGTCGCTGCCGAGAACTGGTCCACCGGCAAGTTTCTCGACCTTTGGTAAACCGCTTTTACCACTACAATGTGTGTTGAGAATCGTGGTCAGGAACGACGTGACGAATCAGCTCTCGCACTCGCCAGACATGTACATCTCAGATGGAGCAATCGGCGCGCACGCGACCCTTCGCACTCCCGTACGTATGTCTTACTATGTCCAATCTTATCGTCGTGCAGATTCGTGTGGTGTCGGACACACCTCGCCTCGCTCACGCTTTGGCCAACCTCCTGACGAAAGTTCCAACCTTGAAAGACCCGCACACAGTACGTCGATGGCACATGCAATGATAGTTGTCCACGCCTCATCAACACATGATGGCAGCCTCGCCCCGTCTTGGTCGTGTGGAAATCATCCAAGGACAAGGATCAGTCGGCGTTTGTGTACAACATCGACACGAACGTCGATGGGTTCACCCAAGCCAAGCTCGTGGTCCGTGGCGATGGCGTGTCGTTGGATTCGTTGCTCCAGAACGTTCTCTCTCTCAAGGCGGAACTGGACGGTGCTGTCGACACGGGCGCCCCCGCCACGATCGCCGCCGAAGTCGTCGCTGCCGACGGCAAATCCACCTTGGTGTTTGGAGGTGCGTTTCGTCTTTTTTCATGTCGTTTCGACCTATTTTGCTGTTTTGATCGACCTTAACGTGACATGCAGCCAACGCGGCCTTCCGGGGCTCTCAACAAGCGTCGCTCTCCGCTGCGCACGGCGTGGTATGGGACCCCGCTGTCGGTGTCACTCCTGCGTTCCAAGGCGTGGTGGTGCCCCCTGCTGCTGTCCGCGTTTCGTACGTTGTGCAAGAGATCGCATCGAAACTGAGCAACGCCATGAGTAGGAAAGCGTCGAGTCGTCGCCACCAAGCCTATCCTGCGTCGTGGTCCTCGGAAGCGTCGGTGGTTGGTCATGCGTTTCCCACGCTCTTGCCCCACCCCACGCATGCCGTGGCTTATGGCGCCCCCGCAGACAAGACGAGCGTGTCTGTCGAAGAGTTTGTCAAGCAAGTGAATGGGTCGGCTGCCCTCGCGGCGGCGCTCACCCAACACGGCACGGCTCTCTCGTTCAAGAAGTAACTTGCGCTTCATTGTCGATAACACTGTACCGATGCTCTGTGATGGTGGCTTGCATGCTGGGTGTGGGGAGCGACTAGTGTGTTTGGAAGTGCCGCTGACGGCCGTAGTAAGATGCATCCGCCAGACTCTACACATGGACGCCGCGCACGACTGCTGCCCTCGCGTTCACTCGAAACATGCAGGGGAGGCATTCCTGTCAAAGTTGCGTTTTATTGCGACAACGACGTTAAATCTATGATGCCTTTTCCAGAATGCCGTCGACCGTGCGCGACCCAACAGCGTGTGCATCACAACCTGCTCGACCACTCCATACGCTTTCCACGACTTCTGCCGTCGAAGCTAGATCACGCGCCGTGAGCTTGGGGCGACGGACGTGGCGCGCAGCGAGGCAGTTGCTCTCCCACGTTACTGGGGTTGTCAGGGCATTGTCGCACCTTTAGCAAGCGGACACGTTTTGTGAATGCAGATTGGAAACGGGTCGTCAAGTCCGGATACAGGTCATTATCCGGTAGTTACAATGGATGTGTCACACACAACATGACGTCGCTCCTGCGGAATCGGTCGACCAAGGAGCAATCAGCGACATCGACTGCGTCGGCGAATGCGCCCAAGGCAAGTTCGATTCCACTTAGGTGACGTAATCTGACGGGATTTGGGTAGATTGTGCTCAGCGGGTGGATGCGGAAGCAGAAAGCCCACTTGAAGACATGGAATCGGCGGTACGGATCATGATCACGCCGCCTTGGTCGTGGACACGGCGCTAATGCGAGACGTCCCGCATAGATTTTTCGCCCTCTCTGGAAGCACGTTGTCATATTATGATAGCGAGGACATCTCGGGGGCGCCCCGTGGGATCCTCGAAGTGGCGTCGGTGCATCCGCTGCCTTCCGAACCAAATGGACTTCTGTTACACTGCAAAGCCAACAACAGCACAAGACGGCGAGATGAAAAGCTCATTTGCGACACCAACGTTGCGTACAACGCATGGTTTGCGCTTCTGACGCGCGCCACGACAGCGGAAACGCTAGAACCACTCAGCCAGCAGCCATCGTCGGCTTCCATGGTAGCATCGGCGATCGAGGGAGTTCATCTCATCTACGTATTAGATGCCTGCTTCTTCATCGCCGGCTATGGACTCGTCGTCAAACGTGTCTAGCAACAATTCGGACGCGTCGATCCATCCAAGCTCCCCCGTCGCGTATCGTCCAAACCCCATCAAGATGGGTTACGTCCATGTGCACTACGCCGCGTCGTCGTCTGGTTCGGCGCACAACCTGACCAGCAACCAAGAACATGGCGATGGCGTCCCCGCTGCAGACGCGGATGCGTGGAACCGATATTTTATAAAAGTCGAAGGCGATCTGCTCAACTGTTACGCGGACGAGTCCCAGCAGCATCTCTACGTCAGTGGCATGGTACGCGTCTACACTCGGTCGTCGCCGTGCTTTCATTGAAGCGTTTGTGTTACGGTGCAAACGTATGTGGAAGTGGTGGATGTCGGCGGGTTTCTCGCAACATACTTGGTGCATGATGCACGTTCGCAATTCCTTTTTGCACGATGAACGGAATACCAGAGATGGTCTCATTCTTGTGTAGGTGCGCAATGTGACGCTGTACGAAGGGCGAAAGTACGCTTTGGCCGTTGGCCTCAACAAAGGCCGCAAAGTCGTCTTGTGTTGCGACAGCATGGAGGAAAAGACGAATTGGCTGCTTACGTTAGAGGGCGCGTTGAAAATCGCGTATAGCGTGATCCAGCTCCAGCGCCGTGGAAGTGCCGGCTTGAAGCGTGCATCAAGGTACGCTCCCGTCAAACTCGACTTGCTGTTCACGTCACGCGTGTAGTCACATTTACGACCTGGACTTGTCACCAGAGGATCAAGTAACGCCGGCGGTATTGACCGGTCTAGAGGAAGAGAACAAACTGCGCGGTGTACAGGAACACACTGACGAAGGAGACGAAGGCGACGACCATGTGGCCGCCTCGGCCGTGACGGAAGATGGGTCTGAAGCGAGCGGTGTGTGGATTTGACGCGTCGGTCTCACAGAAATAATGTAGACGTAATTGATTTTTGTGGATTGGCGAATGAAATTGAAGGAGTAAACTCATTTCTACCAATGATTTCGTCTAAATGTGCTTTCACTACGTTTGATTGGATATATTTTCAAACTTTTAGTTCTCGATTGCTTGTTTACTGGATAGAATCCACCAATTGAGTCGCAGTATTTCTGGTTTCTCGATTTGCATTGGTGGAAATACACCAATTAACCTCGACCGAGCAGCCCCCGTACATACACCACTTGCAACACGGCAATCCCAAGCAGGAACGCATTGGTGAGGATCGTGCCGATAACGAGGCGGTCCAAGACGCTCTCCGCCGCTAGAAACATGAGCATGATTCGATTGATGGACAAGCATATGAGGCGATGGAGGTGGGAGGGAACGTACCGTCTCGACTGCGCCGCTCGTTCTGCACAATTGACACTAACTCTCCTTTGAGATCCCACACAGCATACCGAAAGCGGCCGATCAATTGAAGGACAGGTAATCCAAGGTCTTCAAGGGAAAGAGTTGGGCGACGGTGTTGCATGACGAACGACGCTGGCACTGATGCATCCGACCCTGCGTGAGCGCCTCCTGCAAGACGTACTTCGCCATCTTCCGCAACTTGAATCTGTCATGTATTAGCCGGCACGTGCAGTGTGACCCCAACAACATGGTAGATCCATGCCCAAGCGATGGCCTTACCGTGAATGCCACGGTGGAAGGAGATGCGTTGTCCACCTCCGCTTCCTTGGACAGAGTTTCGCGTGCCGCAGTTGCAGCTGGTCGAACCGACGTTATGACGAAAAGTCGAATTCGATAGCCCACCTCGAACGGTGTCGGTGATGTCAAAGAAGAGCGAGCCGCCAGTGGATGCCAAGACGCCATGATTCGTGATAACGCGGTCGTAGAACGAATCGATGTGGGTAGTCATCGACGTCCACCTGGTAAATGAAACTCAAGAGAGTACTTGGCAGGCTAGATCACGTACGTGGGGGGATGCACCACTCGGTTGCCAGGGATTGCGGCCAATGTGACTTCAATACCTGGTTTGGACGCAAAGTCCACTGAAAACGAAGCAATCACTCTTCGTGTTGCAGTCACAGCATTAGCGAGTAGCGCCAGTGAGGGCCACACGAAGACGGACCTCGTGTTTTCGTGGAGTGCATGTACGGATATACCAGCGAACGAGTACTCCACTACACCCATCGAGACCGGAACTCCCTACCGAACAACGAGTGAAATCGAATTGCGACGGATTGAATGCAGTACGCGCTCGGTCGCCAACATCAACGTCGAAGGGTTGGGTTTGTCTGGGAATTGCTGAATCAACGTCGCAATGACAGTGGGGTCTCGCTAATGCGGATATCCTCGATTAGGCCATGGACCTTCGAGTGCAGGAAGGCCAACCGTAAGTGAACGTGTGCCGTAGGTCACGACGTCCACGACATACAACACTCGTTGCTGCGCTTTCGAGCCAGCTGTGTACAACATGGAAAGTAAGGCCTTCATTTTCAAATGAGAGAATGCGTACGGGCAGACGTAAAGCAGAGGGAGTACAATCCCGATTCGCGCACGTTCAACGACGTGTGGTTGGCAGTTGCATGTGTCCAAGTTGTGATGGTCACACCCGATGGTGACACGACCTTCACATTCAGCGCATCGGTGGGACGACGTGGCTCGAGCAGCTCAAAATGGACAAACAGGTCACTGTGTAGCGACCGGGGCACAATATCTTCCCGAAAGCACTCCTGCAAAGCGTTGTTAGATCCAGCACGAAGCAATGAAGCACACCACCTCCTGATTCCCGTCAAGGTCAAAGGCAAAGGAAGAACCAGCCCCGACCGACGAGAAGCAGCTTACAAGCGCAAGCACACCGACCCATGGCAACAGCAGCGCCGCCACCATTTCGTCGGTCGTTCGGATTTGCTTGATGAAGATAGGGGTGAGTGGATGTTGGTTCCGGATATGGTGGTTCAGGTGACCAGCAAATATCCGGATGTTTGCCACCGCAAATGTTTGCATTCGATTTTCGCTCACACGTGTCGTCGAAGCAAGATGGAGGTGCGCGGGCGCATTTGGTTCCTCGTCCTGTGGGCTTGTCTGTTGGTGATGCATCCCACAGCGAACGCGAGCTCGTACTTTGTCTTTGATCTTGACGACACGGAAGAAGTACGACCCCTTTCGCCTTTGTTGTCCTGTGAATAAGACTGCACGTCGTAGGATTGCTATACGGAAGATGTCGTGTCTCGCTCGGTTAACAGCGATGTCTTCCTTCACTTTGAAATCTTGGAGCCCGCTGTGACAGATGCGGTCGATGTGCAGCTCACATCGCCGTCGGGTCGCGGGATCCAAGCGTGGTCGGGGTCGAAGGGCAACCACACGTCCATTTTGGTGCGTGAATCGGGGTTGTATTCGGTTTGTTTCACCAAGACAGGTACGCTCCCATGATTTCTTGGTCATTTTAACTCATGGACATTGCCCAGCGTCTTCCAGCCGCCGCTTGAGTATTTTGTACGCATTTGACCATGCCAGTATTGGTTCGCGGACCTTGACCGTACGAAAGCACCTCCACTGACAAGCCATTCGCTTGACTTCGTCTCCATATCGTCAAATCGTAGCGCTATCCCGCATCTGTATCGACCATTTTGCGCGAAAAGCCCGATGAAACCACCTATACAGAGCTGAACTTGGAGACTGCTGCCAACGTACGCTTCGTCTTGACGAATGCTTGGATTTGCCAATTGGCTTTGACTAGGGCGACGTACAATCGATGGGGCTGGTGCAGTTTGTCTTTTCGGGTGTTTCCAAAAGCATCATCCACGATAATACCAGGTACCTCATCGATCACAATGCATGAACTTTTGCACTCATGATAATCACAGAATCATGATGAGTTTCTCCGTGGAATATGCTTCAGTGGCGGACTTGGGGTTGAGCGTCGCTCTTGTTGCTGGTGGGCTGAAGCATCCATCCACGTACGTTGATGGTAGAAACACTGCTGGAGGTGTGACGTTTCAACGCTTTTTCAGATGGAATGCAATGTCCGAGCATGTGCTAGCCTTTTCGGGGAAAGTCACTCAGACAATGGGAGCAAAGACTGGCGGTACCGTCTTCTTCGATATCACCGACGACGTCACAGGTATGTGCCATGCTCATGTTTCAACTTGCCGTGGATCGTCGTCGACTAAACTGAGTAGCCGCAATGAACGCGGAAGATTACCCATCGATTGTGTATTCAATCCAAGTCGCGGACGAAGGTGGTTCCGCACGGCTCACTGGCAATGCGCACTCAATTATGGCGCATTACCCTGTTATCACGTTTGAGGACATGGGGTTGGACGTCATGCGTGAAATTGGTCACTTTCGCTACTCCGTGTGGGACCTTAAAGGAGAGCTCATCTCGATCATCCAAAACGAACGTCACAGTCGAAACAGTACGTTGTTACCGACTACCCCACGTGAAACATTGATGGATGCGCTGTAGCTGCGGAGACGGTGCAGTCACGAGTCGTGTGGGGGACCGTTCTCACCAATATCGTATTGCTTTCCCTCGCGATCGGACAAGTTCTGTACGTGCGCAACCTCATCGGCACTGGGTACGCCTTCTGATCAGGGTGTGGTCTCCACGTCGGAAATTCGAAAATGAATGTTCTCGCGCGCTTTCACAGTTCTCGCTCATTGGTCCATGTTGGTATGGGGGTTTTCGGAATAGACCAATCAGCGTGCGCTAGGATTGAGATAAAGGGATGTGATTCGTCGAAAATTATACCACAAGCATAATGATGGCACATTTCATTTTCACTTGGTGGGAGCGTCCGTTGCGGCCGACACCGGCAATGGACGCCATGTAAACTTCGTGGATGCTAGACCATGACTCGTTAAGATGCAGCGTGGTTGAGCACGGGAACGAACCTATGTAGTGGGGAACAAAGTACGTTTGGCGATTCTTCTGCAAAAACTTGAGGAGCGCTGTCATGGTGCTTTGAATGCGAGTTTGGTCCGACTGGGGAAGGTCCAAGCCCATTTGACTCATAAGCAGCGGTAAGCGTACTAAGAACAACGATGAATGCGCCATTGGATAACTCCACTCGTACCAAAGAGACGAAGAAGGTGTTCCGCGCCGTAGATCGATGAGGGGGCTGAAGCGGCACGCACTGCAACCGTGCTGTCGTCGTTCACTTTGGAAGTCGCAGCAATTTCGTCATGCTGCTCACGTTCTTGCCTGTAGAGGAGAATCAACGGCAATGCGCGGTCAAAATACGCTTCCAGCCCTTCCAACATCGGGCGCGTAATCTACGATATGTTAATTTTCGCAAGAGCAACATTCGCCAAGCCTAACCTCGAGGTCGTGCTCTTTAGACGATTCGTGTTCAAGGTAGTCAGCAATAACCTTCGTGAGAATGCAATATGAGTGCGCCGGAAACACACTTGCATTGATACCGTGTGAACGTTAGGAACACGGGGCAGATCGATCCATTGCTGTTCTTGGGTGATCTTCTTCCAGTCCTCGATGAGAATCTTCTTCAGGGTCATCGGGATGGGAATGGACACTTGGACTTCTTGTACGACCTAACCGTGCTGTCAGGTTGTAAGAACCAAGCGATGCAACGATACTTCTTCCAAATCCCGCGCATGGTCCTTGACGACAACTGCGTCATCAAATGGGTCTACTACTTTCGTCTTCTTCTTGGTAACACCTGCATCCAGTCATGTGAGAATAAACCCCAAATGACGCTGCGTATCCAGTACCAGACGAAGTGATCGTCGCAGTTGTGGCCTTACGTTTCACCTGCAAATGGAAAGATCATGGACTTGTCCGAAACAGTGCTATAGATTACTGGTGGAAGCCCTCGACATACCTGTTCTTTGGCGTTCAACTTGGCCTGCTTCTGAAGTTCTCGAGACTCTGGGCTCGTGTCTAAGACGCGGTCTGCAGACACCCATTCGTCCCATTTCTTGTGCCAACCGCTGTAGTGCACAAAGTAGTGTGGAGTATCACCTGTCCAAGCCAACAACCACTACTTCGTCAACACCATTCCCATTGCAGGAATGGACAGCGACTCACTGTTTTCGTCCAAGCGAAGGACCTTAGCATCGAATATCTCAATCCCATGCTTTACGAGAACGGTATCGTTCACGGCAAAGATCGCAGCATCGGTGGCTCCTTTGCTCGTTGCTCTGGCTGCCTTCATGCGCGGGAAATTCTCAAAATTGGGTGGGAAGCAGTCGAACTCATACAAACAGCCAGTGAATTCGAAATTCAATTTAATTTCTTAATCAATTCAAGATTAAGAAAACCAGTCAAAATAAAAATGGAGTATACCATAGCCACCACGACGAATCACCGCTCTGACCTGCGCCTGGCAACGCCGACATGCGGGGATAGCGCCGCGAGCCAAGGTCTTGCCCAGACAAGTGCCCCTTGTCAGTCGTTATTGGAGTCATGGAGTTATTGTCGGTGGGAAATCGTCATTGAAACGAGCGTTGTTTGGACGCAACCACTGTCGACCAACAACGCGAAAAGGTGTCATTCGTACACACGTATCGTAGCGATGGCCGCTATGGCAGCGGTGCCAAGCAAAAGTGATACGTGCTTTGCACGGGGGGAAATGGAATGTGCAGCAAGCACTACCAAACTGAATCTCCACAAGACCAGTGCTGGTGCACAAGGTGGTAGGCTCCAACCGATCTAGTGGCATTTCCTGGGGCACGCTTGGAGGAAGCAGCATGCACGTACGCGACAAAATGTTTCACGAGTACATGTGAAAGCCACGTCACAAGCAGTGGTGCCCTCACAAACGACGAAATCACAGACAGGAAAGCAGCGATATTTGGAAGTGCCGACGCAGCAACAAGAGTACTGCTCTCGACTTCAACGGTGATTTGAATTACATCGTGCACCGAAGAACGCGTTCTGTTATCGATCCCAGTGGCGCAAGTGCGAGACCATAGCCGCTACTAACTTTCCTGCCGTGTCTTGGTTTGTGCGTAGTGGGTCGAACGCTGCAGAGATTGCAATGCCAGCAGTGGATGGAGTCACGGACAATTCCACGGCGTAGACCTTAGCATGGTGCACTTCGCCCGCGTTCTTGACGGCGTCTTTCCGTTCTTGTTGCAAGTGCTGCAGACGCTCAACAAGCGACAGAGGAGAATCGAACCGAACTCGACACGGAATTGTGCTCATCACGCACCCCAGCATCCTATGCAAACATGTTAGTGCCGGTCAAACGAGAGGTCGAAGAGCGTACTCCTCAATGCCATCCACGGGGAGGTCGCGGTTGGCCAA